AAAATTTTGTCGGATATGGAAAGACTCACCCTGTATATTCTTGCGTTTAAAATAAACTTTCCCTCCATCTTACAACGCACGAAGTTGGCACCACGATATTTCACAAAAGACGACACGTACTGTCGTTTTATTCTAGATTTTAGAATTTTTCATTTAAAATTAAAATATTCCTATATCGATCCTATTTTAGGATACACTCGAGTGTAACAGCATTGGATCCGGAAATTTGCTACCACGTAGAGGATTCGTGGGGATGACTGTTCGAGCCAAGGGAGCAATCTGAGATTGTTTTATTGCGTAAATAAATTAAGATTTAAGATGCGGCGCACAACAAGTTCCGCGTTACATTGTTGAAAGAGAAGTGAACTGCACGTATGCGGCAGCTGAATCGCGCACCGTGGGGAAAGAGGTCCTCGATAGGTTCCTCGGTCGTTACAGATAAGCACGTCCGGCAATTTTATCTTCTATTAGTTGTTCCGCGTATAAGATTCCCCGCGGATTTCAGTCTGAGGTAAGAGACGTGTGCAAGAAGTCATTATGCAATGACGGTAGCGCGTGCTCGTTAAGATAATCGTCGTCACAGGACCAGAGAGTGTCGCGACAGCGACTTATCGTCCAAAGCATATTATAAAAGTCTCTGTGAATTTCCCTTCCTCTTGTCTATTCTCAGCCTTTCTATCGCGCAGTTTGCAAAGAGAGAAATTTTACGAAAGCGAATAGAATAAACTAATCCTTCAATTAGCACGCGGAAAGAATTTTCTCTTCAAATTTATCCTGAAAATTATCTAATCGTAGGACATGGCATTTTGAAGAACCTTATGAGAGTACTTTAAATTTTACCATACATTTTACTAGTAAAATGTGTAACTAATGTATAACCGCGTATACCTTGGCCTTATAATTTTTATTTTTACGGACATATTTTTCAACGTGTCACAAAAATTGACTGATTACTTTTTTCATGCTGACAACATAAAAATTAATCGAAATTTTGTAACAGAGTCGATTGGCTGATGTCCACGCGATCAGACCATTCATGGAGCTAGGATTTGAATTGTGCTCGACCAGCAAATCTTCATTCTTGCCTCCTCGCAACGATATTTTACATATATGCCTGTACCCGTCGCATGCGAAGAGAAGGCAAAAAATAATAAAACACGAGAGTCGCATCCTACGTGATCATCCGACGAGTGACTGCATGGGCGTCGAGCTTATGTCAAAGAAAGAAAAGGGCTCTGCGGGAGAAAAGTGAGAGACGTACGTGGGAGTCGGCTCGATTCGCTCAATAGCGTTACGTGTACGCCTTCTCCTTTTGATTTAATAAACTAGTTGCACGCGCCGGCCAGGAAAAACAATGACTCGCGGCTGGGATATTCGTCGATTCGAAGGAAATGCGCGTTATGTATTTATAGCGATTTAGCCGCCATTATACTCCGCGATCTAAAACGGATTGTATATTTGAATTTGCGTCAGCGTAGATGCGATCACGCGCATATTCTCATAGCGGAAGGAGAAATAAATCCTCGTCTTCCGGTGTGTTACGTCCCACGTGTGACTTTTCCGGCCAATACCGCGACTGCGTCACCTTTTCCGACGGCGATTTCTTAAGACGATCTTTAATAAAGCCGTCTGAATGAAGCACTTGCCGAGGGCAGGTACTCGGCAAGGTGTAGGCATCGAAAGGAAAGGAGCGAGTGATTAGGTACCTGGGTGGCATTTACGATGCAGCCGATACAACGTGGGGTGGTCGACACGTGTAATTCGAGGCCAATCTTGCGCATATAGGCGTGTCGAAAATAAGGGA